CCCCCCTCCCAAGCCCCCCCCCCCCAGTTGTCCACGCAGACTAGTCACAGCTCTCCAGAGTCCCAGACAGAAAGAAGCCTCCCCCGCCCAATGTTCCCTCTAAGCTGTGGAGTCTTGTGAGCAAAAATTCTACTTTGTGAGCTACCGACCTTCAAGTTGCGAGCCAGCGATTTGGCTGCTGCATCAATGAGTTTGCTCTGGGGCCCTCCTTCCCAAGCGAAGACAGAAATGTGTGAGCCAGAGTCTCAAAAACTGTGAGCTAGCTCACACTAACTCGGCTTAGAGGGAACACTGCCCCCGCCCCCAGCTCCGCTTGCCAAACTGCAGAAGTCGAGGACTGGACGTTCCGCATGTGCACCACCTGTGACCTCTGCCCCTCCAAATGCATGCCATGGAAGCTCCTTACCGTGTGGAAGCATGTCGCCGAGTAACCACAAAATCGTCAGAATCCTTAAGGCCGCCATGATTTCTTCCACTTGTTCCTCCTCAGCGTCCTTTAGCTCTGTCCATTCTGTGACCAGACAAAAACAGGAGAGGAGGTATTTGCCTGTGTGAGTGAATTGGTCGGAGCGCTTCCTGTCAAAGAATAGAAGGAAGCCAACTGAATCAACAGGGGTGGAATTCTGCTCTGACCCATTATAGTGTCAAAGGATATGAGGCAGAATTGACTGAGCACGAAAGACACTTTGGTTCTATTGTTGTCCAGAGAATCAACATTTCACTTTATGGAAAATCTGTGGGGAGTGGAAACTGTGACAGAGGCATGCAAAAGTCTAATCTCATTGCACGTTTTTCAAAAAGAAGCCAGTTGTTTTGAAAAAGGTGCCTTGCTAAGAATAGTCTGCCTGTAACTCTCACTTTGGGCAAACCATCCCCCCTTCACCATTATGCCATCCAGTCCTCAAGAGAGGAATTCTGACTCAACAAGAAGGTGAGCTCTACAATGATATAAAAAGTAAAGGTTCCCTTGCTCGAAAGCCAGTCGAATCCGACTCTAGGGTTGCGGTGCTCATCTCCGTTTCAAAGCCGAAGAGCCAGCGCTGTCCGGAGACGTTTCTGTGGTCATGTGGCCGGCATGACTAAACACCAAGGCGCACGGAACGCTGTGACCTTCCCACCGAAGTGGTCCCTATTTATCTACTTGCAATTTCTTGCTTTCGAACTGCTAGGTTGGCAGGAGCTGGAACTAGAGACGGGAGCTCACTCCGTCATGCGGCACACTCGGGTCTCGAACTGCTGAACTACCGCCCTTCCACAGCCTGCAGTTCAGCGTCTTAACCACTTGAGCCACCGCAGCTCAATGACATAGGGGCCTCCAAACAGGAACTAGAAATAATGTGTGCAAAGCATTGTTCCTGGGCCTGTGTGTAGTCCTGCAGGGGACACACCTATGATCATGGCCAGGGCTTTTTTTTTTTGTAGAAAAAACCCAGCAGGAACTCATTAGCATAATAGGCCACACCCAATAGCAGAAACTCATTAGTACATTAGGCCACACCCTTGACAGCACCACTCAGTAGCATATTAGGCCGCACCCACATGTTACCAGAAGTGTGGTCATCCAGCCACACCCACCTGTTGCTTCTTATTCTGTTTACCTTACTTGTTGTCCTTTGCATGTTAGGCTACACACCCCTAATGTAGCCAATCCTAATGAGTTCCTGCTGTTGGGTGTGGCCTATTATGCTAATGAGTTTCTGCTGGGCGTGGCCAACTCAGGAGTCAGCCGGAACTCCGTTCCTGTGCGTTCCTGCCCCAAAATAGCCCTGATTCATGGCCAAAGATATGGACCCTGGATGTTGTGGAAACAGATCACCTGTCTTTTCTACATTCAATCCACTCCCCCTCCCCCAGGTAAGCATCAGAGTTCTCAGCATTCCATCACATCCTTTTGTCTAATCGATGTGTAAATCTCCCTTAGCAACATTTATCTGCAAAACACCTACTCTGTCCTTTATGGCCCCTTTCCTGGGCCAAACTTCCTTTAAAGTGTAAGCATTTCTCTGGAAAGCAAATTTGTGGTCCTCTTCTTGGGCTATTCTCTGGGTTACCAAAAACATATTAACTTTGAAGTGTTAGATAGTATCAGCCATCAACCCTGCATGCACACTCCAGGATATACCCACTAGGGTGCCATCACACCTTTTTGATCTACGTTTGGGAAACCTCTTGATCCTTTGTTCGGACATCCGTGCCCCGCAGGACACCTTCTCTAGTATATAAAATGGCTGCCCAGCCACAGCTCTGTGTGTCACTCTAGGGTGCCTAACAGAGTAGCACCCCCAAACTCACAGTTTGGGTCCCCTTCTGTTCGTGATACACTGGTTGTTCACGATCTCCCTTCCACGGACTTCTGCACATCTGCATGGTAGATATAACCTGTAACTCCCTCTGTGTCTCCAAGCTTCTCTGTCGCTCTGTACCATAGAGTTGTAGAAAACAGTGCAGTGAGATGCAGAAAAGTAATACATACTACACAGAGCAGCAGTGTTCTCTCTAAAATGGGTTAGTGTAAACTACCTCACAGTTTTTTAGCCTCCGGCTCACACATTTCTGTCTTAGCTCAGGAAGGATGGCTCCAGAGCATACTAATTTATGCAGTAGCCAAATCGCTCGCTCACAACTTTAATGCCAGGAGCTCACCAAGTAGGATTTTTGCTCACAAGACTCCACAGCATTGCATTGCAGAGCACTATAAGTCACCACATCTGCGTGGTAGATGTAACCTGTAACTCCCTCTGTGTCTCCAAGCTCCTCTGTCACTCTGTACCATAGAGTTGTAGGAAACAGTGCAGTGAGAGGCAGATAATACATACTACACAGAGCAGCAGTGTTCTCTCTAAAATGGGTTAGTGTAAACTACCTCACAGTTTTTTAGCCTCCGGCTCACACATTTCTGTCTTAGCTCAGGAAGGAGGGCTCCAGAGCATACTAATTTATGCAGCAGCCAAATCGCTCACTCACAACTTTATTGCCAGTAGCTCACAAAGTAGAATTTTTGCTCACAAGACTCCACAGCATTGCGTTGCAGAGCACTATAAGTCACGGTTCCATAGAATCATAGAGTTGGAAGGGACCACCAGGGTCATCTAGCCCAACCCCCTGCACAATGCGGGACATTCACGACTACCTCCCCACCCCACCCCCAGTGACCCCTGCTCCACGCCCTTCCTGAACCATTCTGTCACATTATAGCCCTACTGTCATTGTACACAGTAGACAGAAATGCCCCAAGAGTTACAGGAGTTAGTGGCCCTGAAGTCTGCTGAGAGGTCCAGAATCTCCCATAGGGATGCACTCCCTCACTAGCTGCCTGGTCAATGTCACCCAGCTGCAGGGCTGTTTTTGGGCAGGAACGCACAGGAACGGAGTTCTGGCTGGCTTCAGAGTTGGCCACGCCCACTACAGTCAAAACCTCTGCATGTGTGGCTACAGAGGGTAGGCCTGGAGAGTGAACTCCCCCCTCAGCGACTCCATGGTGGGCGGATGGGGGGGACCCTGGAAGGATTGGGGGCATTTAAATGCCTCCCCGTGCCTTCCCCGGCCTGTCCAAGGGCCGGCTTGCCCGAGCTCCCCGCAGTCACGGGGCGCGCAGGGAAGCCAAGGGAAGGCATGGGGTGTGGCCTAATATGCTAATGAGCTGTGCTGTTGGGGGTGTGGCCTAATAAGCTAATACGTTTCTGCTGTTGGGGTGTGGCCTAATAAGCTAATACGTTTCTGCTGTTGGGTGTGGCCTATTATGCTAATGAGTTCCCGCTGGGCTTCTTCTACCAAAAAAGCCCTGCCCAACTGGATGACTTTGGAGCCAGACTAGAAGTGATGTATGACACGAGCTGAGAGATGGCTGCCCATCCCAGCTTTCTTATATCATATACATAAGCAATCAAATCTTAAAAGAAAAAATTAGTCATATCCCAGCTGTCTTCTGATATTTCGTTTTGAAACTGTAAAAATTCCAGTATTGGTAGCCATACAAAATATTCTATTTTATATTTTTCATATGATACATTTGAAATAGACAATTTTATTTTATCAATTGAGTATAATTGCCATATATTTTCAAACCAAGAAGATAAAGAGGAAATATGATATGCTTTCCACTGCTTTGCTATAACTAACTTCGCCGCATGTAATAATATTGCTATTCTATTCCTACATTGTTTTTGCCAGCATCTTCACCACACGGAACCAGATAAAGGGGCAAACAGCCCTCCAACGGCCATTTCTGCCGGTGAAAAAGATGTGGGAGGGAAACACAAAGGCCCTCTTCTCCCCTCAAAGTGCTTCAAAACTGAATGAAGTACTCTGAGGTGAAGTTCCTCAGTTCATACATGGGACTGCAAGTTGGGCCAGGCACCTGTTTCCTCATTTTTTTGGTCACACATAACATTTAGGGCTTTTCTGCATTCTCATTTTCCTGGCTTATGTGTTCCCTATTGCTTTGGAAGTAATTTTTCTGTTCATGTGTTTTGCTCCTCCTAGTGGTCGAGTCGATATTACACCACTGTATGTCTGGAAGAAAAACCTGCAGTTTAAATCTGCAGGGAGACACGCCGGACATGTTGTTGTTCAGTCGCACAGTCGAGTCCAACTCTTCGCGATCTCATGGACCACATCATGCCAGCCCCTCCTGTCCTCCGCTGTCCTCTGGAGTCTGCCCAACCTCGTGCTGGACATAAAGAGGTACAACACTGAATTGAGGGAGCAAAATACACGTGGAACAGAAAATACCCCCTGAAGCAACAGGAACCCAAAAGCGAGGCAACTGAAAATGTGGGAAAGCCCGTTGTTTGACTCTAAGGTCGTTTCTGTCTCATAACCAGAATCAGTCTGGTCAGAAGCCAGATTGGAAAACCCTGTGTTGTACCTTCTTAAATTTCTAAAGCACCTCGCCCAGAATTTAACACCAGGCAAAACTTGTTAAGGACCCAGGTGAGGTTGGAAATTGCATAGTCCCCCACCCCCCATATTTATATTTTGGTAAATGTGGTTGCTATACAAATGCCTCTTCTATGAAAAGGGGTAATTGCACAATATGCAATACCTGTACTCAGGGGTCATTTCCTGCAGGAGCGCACAGGAGCGAAGCTCCGGCAGTAAAGGGCTCAGGGGGCGGGCACATGCAACAAGCCCCACCCCCTGCTCCCAGCAGCCCTCAGTCAGAGCAAGAAGCAGCCAGGTAAGTTGCAGAACCCCCCCCCCCAGGGCCACAGTCCAAAACAGTCCAGTGGCACCAGCGTCTGCTTGTCCCCTCCCTCCACAAATAGCTAGCAATCCAAAACAGTCCAGTGGAGCCTGAGTGGTGGGTGTTGCCTTCTGACAGGGGGTGTGGCGTATGCAAATAAGTTATGCTAATGAGTTATGCTAATGAGCTCCTGCACCTCTTTTTCTACAACATGACCCCTGCCTGTACTATATTTTGAATTCAATACAACATAGATTTCAGGAATGAATAAATGATTTCCAAGACCTTCCCTCACCAGGGAAGGCCTGGGGGTGCCCGAACGGCCTGCGCGGTCGACTCCTGGTAGGCTGGAGGATCTGAGTCCTTGCGGCTCTCGTTGTCAAGGGAGGACAGCTATGGAACTTTCCCTTGGTTGGGATGTTTGGCCCCTGCGAAGAGTTCAGAGTGACTGATGGCCTAAGGGGAATGCTGTCAGACTCCCGAGGAAATCAGTTCCCAACAACAGTCATTCAAAAGAATAAAAGTTTATTGAGGCATTGATAGCATTCAGGCATTTTGACTTTACCATGTTAGAACTGAGGGGAAAGCGCGTGAAGCAAATACTGATATACTGAATTGGAGGAAGACCCTGATGGCCCATGGCCAATCAGACCACAGGTCAAAGCCCGCCAAAATAACAGGCCATTATTCCCAAGAAAAAGAAGACACCAGGCATTCAAGGTTATACGGCTCGGCTTACAGGGAAAGATAACTAAAATAAGAGGCATTCAGCAGAAATGTAAGTAAAGATTCCATAGTCACCCCCAATCTTCTCACGGCAGCCAGGGTAGTACAGAGGCCTGGCTGACAATGTTATTGCTATGAAAATAGCAGGAACACAGTGGGAAACACAAAAAACACCCGAGCCCAAAAAGGGATGGGATGGGCCCACCTTGCCCAGCGTCACTGTGCCTGGCGAGGGATGGGCCAGCCTGCCAAGCCACCTTGCCCAGGTACCTCGTCTTCTGGGCTGTCTGGGTTCAGCTCCAGGCAGGGCCCTTTTCCAGGGATGTTTCTCCCTCGTCATAATCTGACCCAGCTTTCAGCCAAGACAATCCCCCAATCCAGCGTTTGCCCTACTCTCTTCAGGGAATATTCTCAAGAATATGAGGAATTTCACATTACCCTTTTTAACCCGTTTTGAAGCTGTTTTTGATCTGTCGTGGAGTAAACCGGTATAGGGCTGCCATTTCACACATGGCTTTCCCCTTCCGGTAAAGAGCTGGATCTGAAGCGGTTTGCCATTTCAGACTGTACCGCTTTACCCCTGCCATTTTTCACCCGTGCGAGCGATCTCCGGCTTTTTTTTTTTT